AAACTTTTCTCTGAGAGATACCCGAGAGCCTAGACGGTACACAGAACAGTTTAACCATAATATTTTCCGTGATAATTACGGTCTGTGATGTGTGAATTACACACATTGATAATCCGAAAACACTCGTAAAATGTTGTTAAATGTGGAATCGTGTGTAAATATTTACCAAAAGACTTATTGGAATAATCTTGTATTCCCAGAACACATAAGGACAAAACAAGATTCAACACTTCAACTACTATTATTTATTCACAAAATATTTAGGTATTAAAAACTGGCGCCAATGTTTATTTAGCTTTGGACGTGCGGAAATGACGGGTTATCGGTAAGTATATAAGAGATGTAGACACTTTGCATGATATTTACATCTCGACAGAGTTTCGTGAAGTACATATTTTAACACTACAATATGAAGTTCGCAGCGGTAAGTAATTTTTTTTGTTTAAAGTAAATTCCAGTGTTTTCGATTTTAGTTTAGGGTACAAACATGTTGTTGTTAATAAATTGCCATGTTACGTCCATTGGGAGTGGAAGGTTTTTGTAATGCTCATGATACTTTCTTCTTTCATTTGTGTGAAGAATTGAAGCGACATCGAAAAGTGTCAGTTTGAACATGTGAACTTACCAAAATCCTAGCTTTAAAATGAAGAGTTGGGTACTCTCCTCACGATGTTTACCTTTACAGTCCAATTTATCTTTTTATCCATAATTATGTGATCCTAATAACGTATTGTCTGCCTCACTTTTCTTCACATTCCTTCGATAAATTTGTGGTGTTATGCAAAGAATCCGTTTATTTCCTCTACTGTTCTCCTAGTTCAAAAATTTGGTGCAGTTTGTATGCAAAATGACTCGAGAGATAAAAAATTTAGACTATATAATTAACAAACAGAACACAAATATGCAGTTATCTTTCATATGACCTTATTTTATAATAATTAATTTTAGTCAGATAAGTTTATTTAAGTTAGTTTGTTTAAAAAAATGTATTAGCTTTATGTATTGATAGAGCAAATGGTCATCGTAAGATGAACTACGTCATCTGGTCGCGTTGCCTCACTTGTTTGAACATCCTCTGTGGGTGTTTTAATGCGGTGTAAGATGTCGTAGGTAATCCTACGGTAGTGCCTCTGTGTGTAAAATCTTTATAGTGGGTACGTTCTTAGAGATCAATCTTGAATGAATTGGTACACAAAACGAATATTGACAATGAGATCAAAATTGAGTAAATATTTAACAATAAAACAGTGGGAAGTCCTTGACAAGGTCAGACAGACAATGTGCAAAATCGATTGTGTACGATTGTACAATTGTTACGAAAATTGTTTGCGATATTTATAACATTTTGTGTGCCTATTCGTACTTGGAATTCTTTCGAAGAGTACCAAATTTTTTCGGCGACCTCATAGTATAATAAGAGAAGAAGTGCAGCTCCTGCCTGTTCGGCGCATCATGCCTACACGTTGCTCGGAGCTTAGGGTTGTCACATTATTATTTTAGTTTTACCTTCAGATTCCGAAACATAATTTGAATATATTAAAGTATTCATCACAGATGCTACATTGAAATAATCTTTGTCAAATTCAGTACTTAATTATTGATATTATATTATAACAGCATCGGGGATTACTATCTCGATTATGGAAGTATTATTTATAAATAAAAAAAAATATAATTTTGACACAGCAAAATCAAAGATCTGCAACAAGCACATAGAAACATTAAATTTTAATTAAAAATTAACATTAGAAGAAATTCGTAACGTCCACCAGTTCGTTCCGTGGCTTAGTTGGCATAACCGCTGGCACGGTTTGCTAGAAGACCGACCGGATTGAAGGAATTTTTTGTAAGTGTTAGTGTTTTTGCATTATATATTTGTGAATGTGGGCTATAGTAAACTTCTAAAGGCTAAAAAGACTAAAGGTGTAGGTAATTGATTAAAAGTAAACAAACTTGAGCCGTCACTTGCAAGCAAATCAAACGTAGTTGTAATGGGTTCGGGTTAACAATATTTAGTAGTGAGTTTCATGGATCACATTACTTACTGCCTTACTCTTTAATTTGGTCGCATATAATACTTCGAACTCCGGGATTTTTAGCTTGTTTGTCCACAGATTACTTAATAGTTTCTATGTAACAGATATATCACTCTCATAAAAATCGAAAATACCTATGCTGTATAATAGCCTACTAAATCTAAGTAATGACACCAGGCGTTCAGTACCTGTCTGAGCGCTTGCACTGTCGGCAATACACTTAGCGGTAGGCACGTACCGCATAACCTCGAGCGATTGACGGGGCCCTGGTTTATCATAGGAAAGTTGTGATATATGAAACATCTTTGGATATGATACGGATATGTGACATATCTTTATTTAAATATTTAATCTATGCCGTTTAGATTTAAGTATTTAGTAGAATATTATAAATAGGTAGTTCTAAATGTTGTCTATTATAGTGGTTGCATACTGCGACTTTTCCTAAATCCCAGGTGTAGCAATGCGATCGCGCGTTTGTATCGATGCGGTCGCGGTTTTGCATCGCGTTTGTATCTCTGCTTAAAGTCGTGCGCGTGTGTAAAGGTAGACGATAAGGGACTGTATCGCTACTGCATCGCGTTTGCGCAGTCGCCGTGTGTAAAGCTGAAAATATTATCATATTATATATTTAGAACTATTTTTAAAAAATCTTTATAATTTTGCAATAAGTAACTACGTAATGCGTCATAAAATTCCTTATTGCATTTTGTTTACAAATACCTGAACCTTTATAGTATAGGATAGACGAGGATGACCTAGTATTAGTTACTTTGATCAAATAAAGGTATGTTCCACATCGAATAAGAAGGTCATAATAAAAGCTTTGCAAAGGTGTTTCGTATTTAATGTAACAAGAGTCTAACGGTTAAATAAATGATAGAGAATATGGATTTACAATATCAATTAAAAAAAAAAATAATTTACCTATATAATACAATTTATATATTGCAGCACGTATATATTTAATTTGCAAGATTTTTAGATACGACATAAACTTTTCGATGCGATTGTACTTTTTTAATGTGTACATATTGTACTTTATTCTGTTAAAGACATTGACTTACAATTATATGGACATAGGATCCGCGCTAAAAAGTGTCCGAACTTGTAAGGCGTTAAAATCGGATACAGAGCGTCAAACTCCGCTTTAGTCTTCATTTGTTCGACTGACAGCGCGATACTGCGATGACATTACAATTTAAATTCAACGTTTTAGCTTTTTCATATTCCTTTACATGTCACTACGTTTAAATAGGTTGACTTGGGACATTTTTTTCGTGGTTTTGTATTAGACCCGTCGTCCATTTATTTGTAAGTCAATGGTTAAAGACAACAGAATAACAGTTAATCAGAGCATATTACAATTATTTTTTATAATAAGAATAATTTGAACATTTAATCAACTTCAAAATACAAGGTGTTTTTTTATGGTAAGTACACATTTATTGACCTCCATATAACCTGATGGAAAGGTCGACAAGGTCAACGACGGAACTTGAATTGATTTGAAGTTTTATAGCATTCAATATACAAATCTAAAAGACAGTACGCTGTTTAAATGTGGAAGCGTAAAGCTTAGTGGGAATTCTGGGTATACATAGCCAACATCTAGTCCCACGGTAACATAATACTTGACGAATTTTTGTGATTTTTTTAACTGTTTTTAGTAATTTAGATGAGAAGGTTTTGGTATATCAAACTATATGGTATCATTTCAGATGTTTCTACTATTCTTCGTGGCTGCAGCCATGGCCATGCCAGAGCCGCAACGTAATAACAGTAAGCATAAGTTTTTTTTTAGATTTAGCTCTTTTGTGAGGAGAACAAGGAAGATATTAACTTTAATTTCTCATGTTAATGACCCACATTGATCCAGGGTGGGAGACTATAATCTGACCAGAGCACTGTCGTCGTCAAAAGCCGCTGAACTGTTGCATTTTTTCTTATCATAATTACAAAAAAATTTATACCGCTTTTGTCAAAAACTCAAAGCTGACAATATAAAGCTAATAAAATTCATATTTGTTCAGGACAATATCAATTAAATGCAGTTAGTATTATTAAATTTGTGATAACAATAACGCTCATAGCCCCGCACTAGGGAAACCCTGTATCGAGGGATGCCATGGACACACACATAGATAACCATAAATTACAGCTGAACTCACGAGAGAAAATTATGTAAGCCGTACAAATATTTCTCCCGGCCCGGGACTCAAATCCGGGACGTCTGAGTGGCAGATCGGCGTGGTATGGGATCTGATTGTAGGTTGACATAATTGTGTGTTACTAGCGCCATATTTAGCATTTTTAAATACACATTTAGAGACTTACTCTTGGTCACCTAGCCATGAAGCGAATGTGACATCGAAACTCGAAGCTACGGCTGTTGTAAATAAATGCCGTAATTTAAACTCTGACGTACGGTTTTAAGGTACTGTTGTAGTGGCAGGCGGGGTACTGGTGGTTTCACCTTACGACAGGTTTATTATGTTGTATGATGAATTGATAATAATCGTGTATATTACAGTACTTATTACAAACTTCAAAAATTATGCTATATTGATCTTAAAATAAAAACTTGGGAAATTATAGAATTTTAAATTTTTATTAAATTGATATTAAATTTTTTTTTGTGAAATTATTCCAATAGTTTGTTATAATTATTAATGCAAAGATCGAACACTCAGAAAAAAATTTCTTCGATCCGCCCGGATTCGAACCGACGTCTTCTAGCTTACCATGCCAGACGCTATACCAACTAAGACGCGGAACGAATCAGCGGTCTTCACGAATTCTTTCTACGAGCTTGCGTCGTGTTTTTGAGAAATCTTTGAAAGATTTATCACCCAGTTAGTACCTTTACAGCTACTAGTCCTGGCGAGAGATGTCGCTATTCGCTGTATTTTAAATTTTTATTGAATTGATATTTAATTTTATTTTTTGACATGCCGTACATAAACTGTTATGATGAATGTATTTTTTTTGTTTCAGTTCATTACAAGGTCAATGGCGGTAAGCATAGATAATTATTTATAATTATTATTATATTACAATGAGAAATGTAACAGTTATAAATAGATATATAATATTATGCCAAACAACCACACTAATTACATGGTCTCAAACTGGGAAATTCTCCGTGCAATTGCAATGTAATACTCTGGATATTGCCCAGAACACCCAGCAAGTGATAATGACGTAACTCTCGGTGCTGAACCATTCAAATCATAGAATTCAAAGTCCAATATTCAATAGCATTTTAAACCGACTTACAAAAAAGAGGAGATTCTCAAATCAACTGTTTTTTTTTGGATGTATGTTACGCGATAACTCATTTATGAACCGATTTTGATGATTCTTTTTTGTTGGGAAGAGGGTACCTCAGTATTGGTTTCATTTAAATTTAAAGAAAATATTCCACCTCTAAAGATGGCAGACTAGGCGATAAATCCGGTTTCGAGCACTTTCCGGTTACCGATTTCAATATAACTTGGCAAATAGATGTAGTTCCACGAACTTTTGAGATTGCTTTTTTTAGTGCTCTGTACTGAGATTGTTCAATTTCCACGTTTACAAAAATACGGGCATGTACCAAAAATTTAATTAGCAGTTTTTTCCACCCTGTATATTTAATGCTTGTTTAACTAACGGTAAAGGAAAGAAAAATATCGTGACGAAACTTGCTTAAAGGAGAATGTTAACTTGTAGAATAGAGGTCCCCAGACGTTGCGGACTATGGGTTAAACCTTTCCCACCCTCATGTGCTCAGTAGAGACATGTCTATGATACAATGAAGGTGTATACTAATTAGACAAATTTTATGTTCTTTCAGTCAATGTGGTCGACGGTCCTCCTACCTCCCGTCCGCGTAAGTATCTATAAACATACTAGTATACCTTTTTTAACAACTTAAAGATAAAAGATTTAACAGAGGGTATATTATAGTTGTAAATAGCAAGTGGGAGCCCTGTTTCTATAAGGGGTAGCAGTAGATTTTTACGTACGAATGTTTGGCGGACACACTTTAGTCCGTATTAATAAATACGTCTCAACAGACCTTACCTAAGTCAAGTGATTTTTTTGACACCAAGTGTTTAGTTTTTAGTAGCAACGGAGTTCCTTGTGAAAGAAGTCTAGGGAAGGGAAGTACTGCTGCCTTACCTATTTCTGCCGCCAAGCAGTAATTAAGCATTACTGCATTTTGGTTTTGAAGGGTAAGGTGCTTGTGAAGTTAAAGGCACACTGGCAGTGCGCAGTGGCAGTGTCCCTCAGATTTTAGTGATTTAAAGCGCTGAGTGGCAATACAACTGTTATGGACAGGTGTGTCGCTTTCCACCAGGCACACAACTTGTTCGTCCCGTCACTTGATATCATAAAAAAATGTTTAATATGATAAATGCGAAAGAAACTCTGTGTGTTCCATTTTCAAGTTTAAACTGGTTTAAACCATTGAACCAAAATTGATGAATTTTGGTATAGAGCAGGGGTTCCCACACTTATTTTGTCTATTGTCCCCTTTGAGAATAACTTATTTTTTAGCGCCCATATTTTTTCACCTACTTAAAAACCACTATAACTTCAAATTAAATTAATTATTGTGAGCTATATTAGACATTAAACATTCATTCTAAACGAGACTTTTACTGTAACCCGCAAGCGTTAACTTGAGACCTGAGCGCAGTAGGTAGTACACAACGGCGCTCAGGTCTCAAGTTAACTCTTACGGGCTACACCTGCCAATGAGAATGAGTATTGAAACGGAACTTTATAGTATTCAGACAGAGTATCTTTTATTCAAAATAAAACGAACATAATCGATTCTGGTATAAAAACTAATGTGAAGGATGAATCTGAAACTGTTTAATAAGTTTGTTGATATCAGGTTCCAATTTACTCAAGAACAGCCGCAAGTCACCACGTTCGGTAACATGCAAACGATTTCTCTTTTTAGTAAGCAGCGTTGTCACAGCACTAAAACCACGTTCACACAAATATGACGATGGGAATACTATCAAGAATCGTTGAACGACTGACCACAATCCAGGGTACAGTTGCGGTATCGGTTTTTGTATCCAAAATTCTTGGTAGCCATTTTTGATTTTTATTTCCTCGTTCGTTGTCAATTCTATAAGTTCTTCTTCCAGCTGAAGTGATATTGCTGTGTTGACATTTGAAAACGGATCCAACACCCAGTCTGGTATTTCCAAGTTGAAAATGTCCAAAATGTATCGTTCGGTGAAGTCAATGTGGAGGTTTTCCAAATGTTGGCAGTAGGCAAACAAGTCGTCGTTACTGCAGGATACTGATAAATTCGGAAAATTGTGAAACTGCCCATATTCTTCTTGTGAAGAAGCAGTTTGGCTGCAAAAGCAGCAACGACATTTTTTAATTAAATTTAGTTCATCGCCTTGCAGTTGGAGATTCATGTCGTTGAACAATTTATACAGGTCTGTCATGTAAGCTATATCATTCTTTGATGTAATGAGCTTGTTGTGCAATTCTGTATCTTTAGTTTCCAAGAACTCCATCACAGAGTCAAACAGGTTGTAAAATCGAGTCAGACAATTGCCTCTTGATAGCCAACGAGCTTCAGTATGAAACAACAAACGGTTGAAATCTTCGTCATTAGTAACACAAAGCTGATGAAATAATCTATCATTCAAAGAGCTGTTACGGATTTTATTGACTGCTTTGATGACATATTATATTGCCGTGATTGAAATAGTCGTTCACTTAAATTTCTAACAACCAAATGTTGTCTATGACTAACGCAATGTACAGCAAGGGCATCTGGAATTTTATTTTTTAAGTACGCTATGAAGCCTTTAAGGCACCTTGTCACAGCCGGAGCGCCATCCGTAGCAACTGATATAATATTTTTCAAGGGAATCTCTTTCTCATCACAAAACTTTTCTAATGTATTGAATATGGTTTCGCCCTTTGTACCGGTCTCTAAATTTCTAGCAAACAATAGTTCTTCACATATTTTGTCATCTTTAATAAACCTCACGTAAGACAGCAACAATGCTTCATTAGTTGGTAAAGTGGACTCATCAAGCTGAATTGAGAATTGACTAGTCCTCAGATGATTGCACAATGATTCTTCAATGTTTTCATTCATTTCTTCAATTCGTCTTTGCACAGAATAATTACTCAAAGGAATTTTTCGGTTAATATCTGCGGCCGGTTTATGAAGCACAGTAGCTATTATTTCCTTTATTGTTGGAAAAATTAACTCTTCTCCGATGTTGTGTGGTTTGCCTTTTTTAGCAATTAACAAAGAGATACTGTACGAAGCTCAAGGTCCGTCGTCATCTTGCTTAGCAGCCGCCGAAAAGAATTTTGCTACACTTTGCTGAGTATTATGCTTCTTCTCTAGGTCTTGAAAATATGCTACATTCTTGTCTTTCTTATCTGGATGCATTTTATTCAAATGATCTTGCAGTCTTAAAGGCTTCATTGCTTCATTCGAAAATGTTTTTAGACATAGAAGGCACAAAGGCGAAGACGGGTTTGTGGGATTTTCAATGAATCCGAATTTAATTTATTCCGCACAGTACCTATTGCCGTCCCTTCTTTTTTACTTCCGACATTGTTTCGTTTTGAAATACGTAAGTTAGTGTTGAACTTAAGTACTGCTTATCTAGTACGCGCGAAACCGCAAATGAAAATAAAATAAATATTACGTTGTTTATATAGGATTGCATAAGCAGCACGCACCTTCAGGAATAAGACAAACATGCATAAACTCGTTTATCTCATTCGACGCTCAATCGTACTCAACAAGTAAGAACAAGTATTCTATGAACCAGCCGATTGATACAGGAATGCACAAATCGGGTTATTTAACAAAAACTTGTTAAAACATGATTGCCCGCGGTCTACTATCTACGAAAATTACCTATCTAGTTTCGTAATACTAATAACTATTAAAATACGAAACTGTGTCTGTTGCCTTATTATTTGTTTGTTTGTGTCTACTTTTATTTCGAAACGGAGCGACCGATTGACATGATTTTTATTTTATTTATTCAATAAAACAGGACAGAAATATGAACTACACGGAGAGAATATCGAACGGAGTTAGTTTGAGCAATCTCTTAATTAATATTAGTTGATGTTCATAAGCTGTAGTCGGGAGTCGAGAGCTCAGTCGGTATCTAAGGGTCGTATTCTAGAACTTTACTCAATGCTAGTCAGGATTGCACTGGAAACACAAGCACTGGAAATACGACCCTAATGGCAGGGACTTGAGTATGATTTTCAGTGCTCACTGCAATACTCAAGTCCTGACTTGAGTATTGAGTAATGTTCTGGAATACGACCCTAAGAGTCTTCCTAGATGAAATTTCAAATCTCTTCCTAAGCCACTACACAACGCCCCCATTTTTTTTCTGGGTCTCTTACCGACCCCCTTTAGGCCTGCAGCGCCCACAAGGGGGCGTTATCGCCCACTTTGGGAAAGGCTGGTAGATAGAGGTAGATGAGGAGAAGGTGAGTAAGTAGTACAGTAGGCTACTCGAAATACTTTCGACGTAGACCATGCTACTTTATCTGTAGTCAACGTGAAAAGCAACACTGGAAGAGGATGACCATGAAGAAAGTTTTTCGTGAATTATGAACTTTAAACTTTCCTGCCTTTTTTTATAAAATGCGCGCTAGATAACCACAGACAATATATAACTTTAAAAGATTTCTTTGTTTAAATTTAGCTAGTGGCAAAAACGGTAAAGAGCCAGGACGAACAAATAATGCGCTTAGTGGTAAGCGACACGCCTACCTGTAACATTCGTAGTGACCCTCTGAGGTTTAAGCCGCAAAGACTTAAGGGTCACTGCCACTGTATCCGTCACCCAGAGATATAAAATTTTCCAAAGAACCGCAACGCAGTTATTACCGCAACCATAATGTGAGCATTAATGCTCACAATACATAGAAATATTTTTGTACGACGAATGAGCGGTATACAGGAACAATTAGTTAAGTTTATGTTATACTGGAATGTTTTGGTTTTTAATACTTTTAAATGTAATAAATACAATAAATAAAAATAATAAATAATAAATACGGCAAAGCTGCAGAAATAGGTATGGTGGTAGTTCTTTCCTAGACGAAACCCTTACACAACTTTATACGGTACATATAAACTACATTTTAATTTGAAATCATTAATATGTATTTTTGTTTCAACAGCAAACCAAGGAAGCGTAGTTGACCCAGGCAAGTATCTGTTTATCGATAATAATAAATAAAAGTCGTACCGTAGTAAGAAATCTGCATTTATTCATAATTAACAAGCATTTTGATATGATTTTTATAGTTAATCCATTACTCGTGTTTAAGTAATGAATAACTTGCTCTCTACTTATTCACTACTTACTATTATAGACTAGTTACTATATTTATTTTTAATTTTATTTTCAGGTTTCTACCAGCCCGTCTACAAACCTGGTGAGTTCAATTACAATAAATTAATACCATTTCTTAAATTAAATGAAGTTTATAGTTGTTTAAATTTGTCTTAGTCAATTACGCTCAAATGGTTGAATAAGTTTGGCCCGAAATAATGTACTTTTTAGTATGGTATTTCTAAATTCCGAGGGGGAATCAGAACGCAGGCAGAAGCTGGTGAAAGAATAAAAATCTCTTCTCTATTGGACCAACAATCCTTAAAGAATCGGCTTCGATGTTCATATATCAATAGAAATAAAAAAAAGATTTTTTAAGTCATGCTACTAAGGCGATGCTCGTACAACACGTCTCCACTATGACGTAAATTTATCTCTGTTACAGGCCTACTGAGTCGGTTCCTGAGGTAGCTGCGAGCTGCGGGAGGAGTGAGGCTTTACGTATCAGTTATGTCGCGCTGCACACGGGATAATGTCAACAAGATTTTTATGACGATATTCAATAGCAAATTAATTGAAAAAAGTGCCTACCAAATTACTCAATTGTTGTCATTGACTTACAATTATATGGACGTCGGGTCCGCGCTAAAAA